AAATAAATATTGATGAAGATTAAGAATTTTGCGTTTGTACATTGTGACCGGAAACTTTTCGGTCACAATGTATAACCTTGGATGAACTTCAAAAAGCAATTGATGGTGTAAAAATAGGAAAAACGGTAGGTTTTGACCAAATCCCAACAGAATTGGTGAAGTTATTCAAAGATAATGAGGTACGTAATTTAACAAGATTTTTTAATAAAATTTATAATACGGGCCAGATACCAAACGATTGGCTTCAATCTACGTTTATTACGATTCCAAAGAAAGCTACACCAAAAACATGTGCAGATTTTAGAACAGTCAACTTAATGAGTCATGTGTTAAAGATATCCCTTCGAATTATACATAATATAATTTATTCAAAACTCGAGGAACAAATGAGTGATACTCAGTTTGGTTTTCGCAAAGGGTTTGGTACTAGAGAAGCCTTGTATGGAATACCAGTCCTAATAGAACGTTGTCGTGACTTTAACAGCTTACTTATACTAGAAGCAGTACGCAAATATTTGCATTAATAGTTACTTCACGCAAGAAGTAGAAATAAAGCGCGGGGTTCACCAAGGGTGCATTGTGTCACGATTACTGTTCAATATATACTTGGAGACTATTTTCAAAGAAGCACTACACGATGCGACAGATGGAATTATGGTTAATGGGGCACTTATAAACAATTTGAGGTACGCCGATAATATAGTGCTTATTGCCGACTCAATAGAGGGCTTGGCTTACAGAACCTTTTAGACGCTGTTGCATTAAAGTGAGACAATACAGCTTAAAATTAAATTGCAGTAAAACCCAATATATGGTGGTAAACAAACGATCCAATTCGGGAGGAAGATTAACAGTATTTGGTTCAGTCATAAAAAAACCGATAAGTTCAACTACTTGGGATGCCAGCTTAATGAGTAATGGGATAATAGTAAAGAAATACGTGTCCGAATTGAAAAAACAAGGTCTTCTTTTATCAAGTCTCTTTTATCAAGTCAGTCTGTTGCATTGATGAATAAACTCGAGGCTTTTGAAATGTAGTGCTATCGACATAGGCTGAAAATAAGCTGGACAGAAAAAATTACAAATACAGTGGTACTTCGGCGTGTCAACAAAGAGACAGAAATATTAGAAAGAGTAAAACGCCGTTAATTAGCGTTTTTTTTTTGTGGTCATATTCTGACGCATTCGAAAAAGTATGGACTACTAAAATTAATCATTGAAGGCAGACGTGGCCCTGGAAGACGAAAAATATAATGGCTGAAAAATTTACGTCAATGATTTAATAAAAGTACAAGATCACTTTTTCGAGAGGCTGTAGATAAAGTCAAAATAGCAATCATGTTACCCAACGTTCAAACCGGAGAAGGAACCTAGAAGAAGAAGTTAACTGATAACGACAACATACCGTTGCATCAAATAAAAGCTAATATTATCGAAGAGCAACATCATAATGATCATTTAAAAAATTTACTTCATGAAATTATTACAGATCGAAGAGCAACATCATAATGATCACTTAAAAAATTTACTTCATGAAATTATTCCAGATGTTATTTCTCAATAGAAAATAAATAAATGGGTCACCGAATATTCTATGTAAAATGTGTCTATTGCTGAACAACTTGACACTGATTCACACTCGAAAACTGAGGACAGTATAATTATACCCAAAATCAAAATTGACGTGGCAATAAATGCACTTAACATATGCATACAATGGGCTGAGGAAAATTCAATACCTCTACAAAAGTTTTAATACTTAAAGATCTAAAAAATGAGGCAATTACAAAGAATCTTATTTGCAATAAAAAGCAAGCTGAAAAAACAAGTTGTTATCATAAAGTATAATTATAAATAAAGTATATTACTTTATATATAAAGTAATTATAAATAAAGTATATTACTTTATATATTAAGTAATTATAAATAAAGTATATTACTTTATATATAAAGTAATAATAAATAAACTATATTACTTTATATATAAAGTAAATATAAACAAAGTATAATCGATTATTGCAACAAACTCAATTATTGCAACACCCTCGAATTCTATTAGTTGCAATTTTTGAGGTCATACTGTGTAATCGAAAGAAGTAGATACATAAAAGTAAGCAAATCTTAAACTACCTAGAATAAATTTTGATTCCCCTTATAAAAAGTCAATATATAATTAAAATTTTTATATTCAATTTTAATATTTATTACTAATTTTATTTCTTCATTTTAAGCTTAAATGTATTACTATTTGATTAGTGGAGAAATTATAATAATTAAAACAGTAAAAAGTCAAAGCTGTGAATGTTAAAAAATGTCTGTCTACAAAACATTAGAAATCATCGTAATTTGTTGTTTATTAAAAAAGGCCTATTTTGTTTAGTGTGTTGAATAAATTTTTCTTTTTATGACCTTGATAACTCGTATAGATATTGAATTGACCAGATTTGTAATTTTATCTCTGCTAGTTTTCCTTTTCCCATTCCTCGAATGCAACGTTCTTTAGCATTTATTTGGGGTCATATAATGTTGACGTATAATATAACCTCTCCGACGCTCCAATAAATCTTATATATGTTCTATTTGATTCAAATCTGGCGATTGTGGACATTATAAAACAATCAAAGCTTGACTTCTGCCGTGTGGCTGGCTTCGTGCGTTATATTGTTGATACAAGTATTTGTAGCTGCAACTAGTTGACTCTGCTTTGTTAGTAAAACTATTTTTGTTAATTGACGGCTTAAGAAATTCCATTTTTTTCCACTCCATTACTCTACCAGTTCCGTGTTTTTTCTTTGGATAAAACTTTTTGTTGAAGGCAATACGCGGTTGTCGTCAAATAATGTTTCGACCTTTGATGCTAAAGAAACAAAACTTACTTTCATCTGAAAAACTTTTTTCAAATCAGAAAAAATGACGGATATTTTTCTGTCATTCACAGCATTGATTTTTCCACTAAACAATTAGTAATAAGTTCTAATTTAAAATGAGCATGAGTAATAAAAGTAAAAAATAAAAATAAAAATAAAATAAAAGTAAAAAAAAAAGTAAAGAAAAAAAAATAAAAGTAAAATAAACAGTAAAAAAAAAATTACAAGTAAAAAAATTTAAAGTTTTAAAAAATATACGTATAAAAAATTAAGCTAAGAATAAAATAAACATTAAATAGTAAATAGAAAATATATAAAAAGTAATAAAAAATAATCAAATCAAGTAAAAAGCAAATAAAAGCTTAAAAACGCAGTCGACTAATAAAGTAAAAAAAAAATAAAGTTGAAAAAAAATAAAAGTGGAAACTAAAAATAAATTAATAAAGAAAATGATCTAATGTTTATATAAGCACAAAACGTATTCTTCTTGAACTTAAGGTTATTCAGCTGTATGTTTTTAGCTGTTTAATTGCCGTACAGCTATAGTCAAATAACACATACCATTTTTATCGCACTGTGTACTATTATTTTGAGGTTGGTCTCTTTTATTCGCAAACCATTGTGTAAACCGTGAATTTCCAAAGTCGTCAAAGTTTTTATGTTGATCGTTACTCTAGAAAGAAGTAATAATAATTACTCAAATACAATTTTTTCAGACTAATTATTTAGATTTATTTTTAGCTTAAAGATAATTAGTATACAACCAACCATTATTGTATGTTCCAGGGAATCTATACTCAAAAAATTCTCAAAATTAAATATAGCTTTTAAAGAATCGTTGCTATTGTAATTGTTAATATCTGTACTTTTCGAAAAGTTATTAGTAGATTTATTTTTTGCTTCGTTTTTTTTTGGATGTTGTATTTTTTCAAAAATGGTCTTGCTAGGTTTATTATTTATAACGAAATTATTTTCATTTAATATATTCTTTTTAGTGTGCTGGATGTCTGATATATTCCGTTCCAAGCATCTCAAATTTTTATCGTCATTTTCTTCTAATTCTTTATCTTCAATATAAGAATTAAGACCATCATCGTCTGGATCGGTAGCTTCACTTTTATTTGCATTGTTAAAGATTCCTGTATCATCATCAATTTCTTCAAAACCACGAAGTTCTATTGTATCTAATTTCGATGTAGGACCTTCACTGAACCATTCAGGTTCTGTTTTGCGCTCATTGAAATGATTACGTCGATTACGTCCGGGTATAAGTTGGCGATTTGATGTATAATCCAATTTAATACTTTCGTTTGAAGCCATATATCTAGTGTTGCCTGCTTTTAAAATATCATTTTTAAAGCTTTCAATTTTTTCACCCGATTCAATTAAGTTTCGATCATAGGCACGTCTTTCTATGCGTTCATTATAGCGTAATATATTGCGTTTTTGATTTAATTGATTATTTGATAACGAAATTTCTTTATTCATTACTGGAATAGTTCTATCCTTATCTTGTCCTTTATAGTCCCAACTTATATCACGTGATAACAAACGTCCACTTCCAATACGCCTTTCTTGATTTCCATTGTTTGGCGTTTTCGAAGGTGTAGTTGATAATAAAGATAAGGACGGCGAAGCCTCTTGTTCGCTACATTGATCAACGTCATTCTCAGCTAAAAATATATTTTATATTAGTTTCTGCACTGAAATTATTACATATGAATTTCATTGCGTACATACCATTTGATTTTTTTTTGGGTGATATGTTTGATATATCAGATCTTTGATGATTTTCAAATGTACGTTCCTTGATTACTTGGCGTTTAATATAATTAGGATCTTTAGATTCATTTATGCATTCTGATCGAGGATTAGACATATAATTAGGAGTAGGACAATTCGCAATAATGCGACGTTTAGCAAATGCTGGCATTAAATGAGCGGAGGAAATACTACGATGATCTATATAAGTCTTCTGATTATTGTGAAATCCGGTATTTGTTGGCAAATATGTTGATAATTGTGAGGAATTGTTATTGTTACTGGCATTTGAACGAAAACTCCTATCATTTACAAAATTAATTATAGATGACTGATTTGCACTTTCATTCGTTACATCGTTTTGCAAAAAAGTAGTTTTCCAAAGTCCTAACATTTGCAGCTCATATCGAAGCGAACACTCTGGTCTTTTCTGTGAACGGGAGTCATTTCGCAAAAGATATAAAGAGGAACGGGTATAACGCCTAATAACACTATCTGAACTTAAAATTTTTTTTTCCATGTTAGAATTTATATTGCTGCTTGACGGCATTACATCCAAATTCATATTATAGAGATCCCGATTTCTAAATAAACATAAAACAAATAATTAATTGCATGTTTTATCAATAGAAACATCTCATTGAAATAAGTTTGTAGGCATATATATGGAACTACATACATTTATAAACATATACATATATATATATATATTTAAACATGCATATGGATGTATGCCTGAGTGTATTTGCAATTCGTATTTGTACGATATAATTTTGTGCTAACCAAAGGTACCGTTAATTCAATAAATTGGAATTTGCCCAGTTTTACTCGTATACTTCTATTTATTCTATAGCCAAAATATGTATATGCTAAAATTGCGAGATTTTCTAAATTCCACGAAGTACTTTTTTGAAGGTCTTTTTTAATTCTAAAATTTTTCTATTGGGATTAAAATATAAATTCACACTTCATTCAATTACTTTCACACTTCGGGGTCACAACTTTAAGAATTTGACAACGAATTATATTTATACAAAATCACATATAAAGAAAAAGCAAAGCAAATATATCGAGCTTATAACCACAGAAAGAGTGCACAAAACAGTGTCATTGTTCAGCACAGTTACCATATTCAAATATTGAAACTAGACTGGATTGCGTTCACATTATCAAGCATGTTTAGCGATGATGTAAGCGAAATTGATATGCTAGCAAGAACCTGAACACCAGAGAATACCGTATGGAAACTCATCCCACATGGATCAATATTAAGCGAAATATCTTTACAAAATTAATTCTTTTGTAATATTCTTGTCACACTTATTAAATAAATGTGATTACACCACACTTATACCGCTTTTACGCTCTTTCAGGGCAGCTGCATAACTTTTTTTCAACTGCTTACTGTACAAGTTTCATATAGGCAGGTGCTTCGTAAATACTCGTAAATAAGTAGAAGTACATATTACATATAATTTAATTATTAAGTTAAATGGGTTTAATTAATATTAACCTATAATTATGCTACATGTACGGAAAACATTTTGAATGGTTTTATATGTTGAAAACAATAAAAATCTAATTTAGCTTAAAATTGAAAAAAAAAAAATGTTTTGAATTTAAATTCTGGTTAATCTCATATTGATAATATTTTCCATGTAAATAGGTTATTGAAGTAAACATATCTGTAAATTAAGTATTTTATATAACGAAATGTAAGCTTATATGAATATAAGTAACAAATTTAAATGTATATATCTGAGCATGCTTGATTTTTGCCTAC